CTTTTGACAGATCCTGACTCACATTATATTCTAGTAGTTTTACAGCTTATTGATAAAAAGGTCAAAATCCTCTATTCTACTGCCCTACTCTTGCTATGCCCAGCAGCACCTATGCTTGCAGTACAGGAGATAAAGAGGATTTCTGCTGCACCTCTCCAGCTGCCTAGATGAATACCTTGGGCCCTCTGCAGCGAGCAGAGATTAAGATAACATTTTGTAATAACGTAGAAGATAAGCAAGAAATCCAGGCTGTCGCAGAGCTCCCAAGCCAACCATCCCAGCAACGTGAGAGATTTTCAACTACACCTCGACAGTAAAAAAGATTGCATGAGTAAGTGTCATTACCCAGAAAAAATGAACCCTTCACCATGGAAACAGCAATCACTTAGAGACACACACAGAAGTGTGATGGATCTGACATTATTTAAACAGGCAAGTGGTACCCCAAGGCCAGTTCTGCTCTCTTGTACCACAAAAAGTCAGTATTAACTAATGACATGAATAGAACATTTCTGGAAGAAAAACACTCCAAGAACAGAGATGGAGGCCAAAGATACTACTAATGAATAGCAGGGTTTATTAGAAAGGTTGGCATTAATGCAATTATACTGATGTAATTACCCCACCTTCCTTTTCCTTATAATTGCCATCAAAGCGCCAGCCAAAGGAGAGAGCTCTGTTTGGGGATGGCCACCTATAATACTAGAAATTCATATTTGGCTATTGATAACAATACTGCAATGGAAATAAAGGCCTGGGATAGTTAGCAAATGTTAAGGCCAGAAGGGACTTTCACAGGCTGAAGAATTGCTTTCACACTATTGTACAGATCCTAGTAATCACTGTTTACAGAAAGCCTGATTTAGCAACATCAGAGAAAGGAAAACTGACTGCTTCTCAAAATACTTTGTTCTACTATTAACTTGTCCTTCTTAAGGAAGGGTATTTGAAGCTGAACAAATTCATAGCTTGATCTTCCAATGGCCCAGTAGTCGTAATAGTCTGCCTGTTCCCTGACCAGAGATGCTGTAGCATGAATAAGTAGTAAATTGTAAAACTTGACTTGTAGTCCCCAAGGGTCAGAATGATCTTTCTAATCAATCCATTGTTCAGTCCTTACTCTTCAAATCACCCAAACAGATGATTTATTACTGGTCTCGACCTGAAACAAAAGTACCCAAAGCGTTCATGTACATCTTTCGTGTGGTTTGAAAAGCTGTAATTAAACACTGATGCTTAAGCAAGCAAGAGAACACTGGGATTTTCAAGTTTAGCACCACTGAGCAAATAAAAGTGCAATTCCATTTACTGACTGCAGTTAAGTAAATTAATTGACTAAGATGACTTTTTCCAGTTGTGAAAAAGAACGACCTTAACACATGGCTGCAATAACTAGTGACAGATGAACTATTTTTGTAAAATCAGAACAGGCATGCAGCTTTTCTCAAAGCTTGACTAGCCTCAAGGTGTTACTAAAGTTGAGCTGGGTTTCAGATACAGTGGGAACCTGAAGGGCCTGAGGGAGCACCACGTCCAACCAGATTTGACCTGAAATGTAGATCGCATGTAAACAAGCTTACAAACTTTACACCATTAGAAAGGTTTCTCTTTGTTACATCCAGATGGAAGTCATTAAAGAAAAACTTCAACTACAGTGTTCAGAGCAAAACCATGCATAGATGTGATTATGTCAAGAGATAGCAGAAAAATTAAAGTTACATACAACTCCAAGGGCATTCAGTATTGATTATATCCCCCTTGGGAGAATGAAAACAAAACAAAACAAAACATCTATTTTATAGTGCAGACTATGTTTGAAATTGTAAACTAAGTAATCAGCAACACTGCTTGCATCACTCTGCCTACAGGACACAAAGAGGACATCCGGCCCGGAGATCAGGCAGGGGGAATACTGTTGTTTTGATTATTTTAACCCAAACAGACACATTTAAAATACATTTACATAGTACTATTAGCTTAAACAAAAACAACCAAAAGGAAAAAACAAAGACATCTTAAGGAATGCTCAGCATCTACTGGCTGCCCTATGGCACGAGCCAGAAGACCACATCAGGTCCATGTCTTAGCCTTCAAAAAAAAAATTGGAGATGGGCACTGGAAGCAAAAGAGATAGACACTGGGAAAGGGAAAAGGAGAAAAGCCAAGACAGAAAAATAGAGAAAAATTTTGCAGTAGAGAAGAAGTTGAGAGAGGGAACTCCAGTCCATGGGAAAGTAAGAAAAAAATGTTCAAAATAACAAGTAAATCCACTTTTAGCCAGACAAGGAAAGTAAAATGCTTGTTGTTGACCCTTCTGAGAATCAAAAGCTTTGCCTGTTGAGAAAGGTTTGAAAAAAAACCCAACACTGAAATCAGAGACAGAGAAAGAGGCAGTGCCCCCGAAGGTCTCTGTCCTGGGAACACATCCACCACAGATCTTAGGTGCATCTTCACTGTGGGGGCAGAGGTGAGAAACTGCTGCATGTCCAAAACTGTGCTTTCCCTTCATACCATGAAATGCGATTTAACCTCAGGGAGGACGTTACCTTACAAACCCTGCTTGTCTAGCAACACGTACCGTTAACACCTAAAGCCAAGCAGACACACCATAAGGCACCACGACACTTCTCACAGAGGCAAACCAGCACGCCAGACCCAGAGCCATGCAATGCCTTTGTGAAGGACCTCAGGTTGAGTACCCACTGGTTCTTGGAGCTGTGGACAGCAGGCTGGAGGCATGCCTGGAGCGAGCAGTGCCAAGCCTCACGGTGCAGGCGAGCATCTACCACAAGCAGATTTTACAGGGCAGCACAACAGTCTTGTTAACAGACTGCCAAGGCTCTACTGGTTTGGCATCTTCCTCTCTTTTCATTCACCAACTGTGAAGGAGATGCCTGTGCTAGATAGAAAAACGGGGGGAAAATTGCCTGGCTCTGGAAAGGCAATGTAAAACTTGAGGTATTTGAGGTAAATTAATGTTCTGCCCAAGAACCTGTTTTGGTGTCAAACTTGACACAAGAGAATTCAATTTTACCTGCCTGGCCAAAGAACACTGACATCTCTCTATGCTTGGTCATGTAACAAATGCTGTAAGTCTACAGAAAAAAATGGGTTGTTCCATTAATTCTGACACCTTGTAAAGAGCAGCACTTGGGGTTTTCAAGTCTGACCACTTTGGCAGGCAGGATGGAACAGCTCCAAAGTAAGCTCCTGCACAGTAAGGGGTCTATCCGACCCATTCAACACTGACATTATTAAGATGTTATATTGATAATTTGGGAAACTGACAGAATTTCAACTCTAGGGATTTTCTTTCCCCCTCCCCCAGCTGCAATTAGTACTGGGCCATCAGCCAACATCATTTAAACAAATACTAGTTCACAACCCGTAGAGGACGGCTATAGTTTTCAGCTCTCAAAAACATTTATTCATTAAATGCTCATGGCCAGTTTAATTTTGGGGTATTAAAAACAAAACTTCAGTGCTCATCCTCACCCTGTACCATTAACTGGTTCTCTGTAAGCCCCCAGTCATTTCTAAATACCTAAATGATCACAAAACACAGGGTAAAGCACTCTGATGTGTCAGCTTCTGAAAACAAACACTGTATGTCAAACACTCTTTGATAAACAGCTTAGATACTTTTCTCAAACTGCAGATAAAAAAAAGATTACTTTCACGGTGCTATTGCCTGGGCAAGATCCCTGCTGACTTTTCCAGGATTTTGGAGGGGGTGTGTATAATACAGGAAACCTCATCTGAGACTGTCTATAAATCCACAGTTGTAACTGACTGGGGTTTAACATGAACATGTATGCATATATGACAGAAGGGTAAGGTTCTAGGTTGAGTCAAGTTTTCTTAAATTTTCAGGAGCTATCAAAAAATCCTACAATTTCATTAATACAATTTCACTGTTAACAGTAACTCAAACAAACAAAAAATAGCAGCTGAATTAAATGTGGTCCTAAAGCATGGTGCTAAACAGAGGATTTTTATAATATATTGCAGCAAATTCAGGTGCAAAGAAGTTGTTTTCTCCATGCTGCAAACTGCACAACATGGTCCCCTTCTGAGGTGACAGAGGTACCTGTACAAGGATTGATGGCTGCAAAGAACACACGCTGAACACTGACCAACATCTTCACCTGACACTACAAATCCCATGCCAGTCTTTGAACTATTCTTTAAAATACGGTACCTGATTCATAAATCAGGTATACAATACCACCACAATGAAACAAAACCCTCAAACATGGAGAGGCACATAGCTCAGATACATTGAAAAAGGCCATGCAGGAACTTGGAGGAGATGCTATTGATGCTGAAAAAGGTTTAACAGAGACAACTCCAAGATACATGTAACTTAAGGGGGGAAAAGGGAAGGAAAGGAAAAAAACCTCCAAGCACTTCAAGAAAAGAAAGAAGCTAAAGCACACAAGCTGCTGCTTGACACTAAGTAGACTTTGGGGTAATGGTCTTTGAAAAATTATTTTATAGCAGCACTTAAGCCAAATTTTATCTCAACTTGAACAAAGCTCTCCAATGTGCAAATGTACTACAGTATGAAAGGAGTAAGGATAGTCTCTTGTAACTAGACTACAGTCTATGAGGAGAGAAAATAAGAGAGGAAGACACAAGGAAGCAACAGAGTCCTGGTGAGAACTGTCTCATGGCCCAGGGCAGAGCTCTGTCCTCCAGAGTCCCAGCGTCTCCCCCCCAAGACATCTGGCTGTGGGTTTTTCTACAGTATGCACATTACATGACTCACAACCCTCAGTTAATTTGCTAGGGCATTTTTCTCCCTCTTCAGTAAAGGAGTGTTGATGACATTAAACAGTAATTTTTAAATTAGATCTTCTATATTTCAAATGTATGCGGAGCCACAAGACGACGAGTGATTTCCAACTTGAGTAATATCAGCTAATATTAGAGGGCATTTATCTACTTTTTTTTGGTAGAGAAGGATAAGGACCACTTATTAGAAACAGTGACAAAGTTTCAACTTTATTTCCATTTGAAAGCATGGATTTGTCCTGACAAGAGACAACATCATGCCTATCAAAGCTTTCATTAGAAAGGGTTTCTCAGATCAAGGACAGATTTTCTTATGAAATCAGATACACAATCTCACATGGACAAACCGTTGCCTTGGTTAGCACATTGCACGGGAGACGGGAGATCTCCATCCACTTGATTCAACTCTGAAGCACATTCAAAGCTTGCTTTCTACATCTCAAAATGAAAACTAATTATTTGTAAAGTGCTCTTTCCTGTTTATCTCTGTCATCGTCTTGCAGGACTGGAAAAAGAATGAAAACTCTGTCCTGACAGATCAAAACAGGGCTTTGTACAATTCCTCTGACATATAAGTACTGAGATGGAAAGAACAACTGTAAGGCAGAAATAGCATTACATTGTCCATCAGTCAGGGAGGACAAATGGAAATGATGAATACAAATACAGTGCCACCTAATAGAATCACTTTTGATCAAAGGCAGCCAAAAACCAGCTAGATAACGCTCAACATTTGTACATCACTCTAAAAATTAAATAATTTTAGAACAGCTCCACATGCTGTACAGCTCCATATTGCACTGATATGAAAAAAAAAAAAAAAAAAAATGAAGCACTGAAATGGCAAACAAGGACAAACTCTCCTCACAGCAGTTTTTGAATGTAAGAAACAACCTTCACATATCAGTGTCTCCTCCAAGAGTTGCAGCAACACTGATAGTTTCCTGTTCCTGACAGCAGGTTCAGGGTTTTTTCTCTTCTGGTTTTCATGATGCTTCCATGGTCACGCTCCAAGTTGGTGCTGTCCACACTTCGAGCTGGTCAGCCACTTTGGCTCATCTCAAACCAGGATTTCTGTGTAAGAAGTGCTCCTTTTCCTCTCACTGGTCAGATCCACCGAAGGCAACTGTCCACTTTTAGGACTAGGAGAAAAGAAATCAGCAGGTCAGATTAGATATATCATCCATGGAGGTGGAGGTTCCCTTTCAAACAGGAGGTGCCTCAAGAGTCCTGGGAAGAAGAGCCACAAAATATTAATCTCAAAATCTGACCCAGAAGAAAGGCTCTTATGAGTCTGAACAAATGAGGAGACCTGAAGCAAGAGTCTTCATAAACCTGCTTGATGTTTTACATATTTATCATTAAACCCTCAGGTATACCGTCCCATTCTGAAGCTCTCTGAAACAAGATTTTTCAATTGTGAGTTTGCTGGTTTTTTTTAACAATCATTTCAGGTGTGACAAACTTTTCCAGCTCTCATGAGTCTAATTCCATATTTACATCTAAGTTTACAAAAGTAGATGACTAACATTTTCCCCCTCTCTGTTATGAAATGGTAAACACCTACATATGGTCTCTTCCACCCAGGTGAGTGACAACATCAACCCAAGTTCTTAGGCACATGCAGTCATGGTTTCCACATCAAGTTTTGCCTATTGAGATCACTTAATACTTTTAGCAAGTGTTACTGAGTCATGGCATTATTGAAATTTCCACCTGTTGTTTCCAGAATGTTATATTGGTGGTGCCTTGAGAGAATTTTAACGTTCAAATTTTCAATCCTGACCTAAAGCCTGATAAGATGTGAAACATCTTCACTGTTATTTGGATCCTGGATCTGTAAAAGCAGGAATTATAATCTCAGCTGATTAAATGTAGAGCAGTGTCAAGCCACTCCTCTCTACTTTTCTCTTTTTCCTCTGTTAGGTAGGAAACCATTAATTTTAGCAGAAGTCTATGGGTCAGTCTTTTTGTTTGTTATTGGGTTCTGGGGTTTGTTTTGTTACTTTTTTTTTGGGGGGGGGGGTTGGTTGTTTATTTTAAAGACAGGATCTTCTGCACTGCATTTAAACTTAGCACATAACAGCAGTGCTGGATGCAACTGAAGACTAAATCGGAGAGGAAGGATGCAGAGAAGAGGAATCATAAGTTGCATAAACATGCAGCCTCTCTTGAACCAGATGACCCAAAGCACACCAGGCAATGCTGGTAGCAGAAGGGAGGTATAGTTTCCTTAAACCCTCTGTTCTTAACTGATAACACAAGTTCACTTGGACACACTGTCACTGAAAGACAGTCTTCAACTTTCAATTCTAGAATCAGGACTGATTTATAGATGGGAGAAAAGCAAGGAAATAACTTTATTTTTCCAAAGTCCAAACTGAACTGACACAGCTTCTTTTGGCAGATAGCAGGAACACTGCAGATGATCCTTGTGAGACAGCTAAAGGGGATTCCCTTTTATAAATACATGAAACCATTAAAGCCTTGGTATCAAAAGAAATCTAAGAAACATCAGATAAAATTTTTCCAGCAGAGGTAGGAAACACTAACTCTATGTCAACGTATCCATTCCACTAACATTTCCCTAGGAAGCTGCTGAAACACAGTTGTTTCCTTAAGGTTTAAGCATTTCCTTTTAATGAACTGTCTTGATATTTAAAAAAAAATAAAATAAAAAACAAATAAGCTCTTGTGAGTACATAACATTGATTAGCACCAAACATACTGGCTGGGCTCAGACTGGTTTCCATCCTGAGCTGATATTCAGCTGGAAGCAGAACAATCCTCTGAAATCCTAGAGCAGCCCTGCTGTCATATAGATCCATATTTTTGTGAAGACAGTAAACAGGTCATTACATTGGGATTTTGGACTCCTCATTCTGTCCCTTTGTTCCTTACTTAGTAATCTTAAAATCTATTTTATAGATGGGAAAGAAGTCATTGGCATTCTCTATCTAAAGGGCTTTGATATTTACAGGTGAAGAGATAAAATTAAAATACTATTTTTAATTTTATAAACAACAGCAGTAGGTTATGCAGTGGTCATAAAAATATATGGATTGTCGCTAATAGCTAGAAGTTTAATATCATCAACATACTTTCAAGATACAGGTATTTCCTTCAGCAAGCACTAGCTTTAGAAAAATGTTAAGATAGGTAAGATTTAGTGGATGGTTCCATTCTTTCCACGTACAAATAAGATAAGTAAATTGGCAAATTCAGCCATTAAGGCTGAATTTAAAAATCTTTACCTTTGCTAGACTACACTTCCGCTTTGATGAAAGGCAGCTCATCCTTAAGGCTTCTCTTGTCTGTAGATTTAAAAAAAAAAAAAAAAAATATATATATATTAAAGAGAGCAGTTTCTTGGAGTGTAGAAAATGTTCATATAATCCAGAATAATTGCTGAAGTGATCCAAGTACCTTTCTGTCCAGGAGTGTCCCAAACAACAGGATGAAGAATCCCTAAAAAATTGCAAAACCAGTTAACAAAACTAGCATAACCACATGATGTTTCTTAAATGCTTTTAGATGTCATTTCCTTAATAGATCTCATCACCTATGACTCAGATAATAGTAGTGTGCAAAATGAGTTTATCCACCCAGGTCACATGGGCTCTCTGGGAATGTCAAGAATGGATATATAACCCATTCTAATTCTCACTATGAACTGGACTGATGGGTCACATACCAGGATCTTCTCAACCCACTCAGTAGCAGTATTAGTCAAGAGGCAGACTGAGTATACAACAGTATGTCAGGTAACACTGGATGTTTATACTGATGAGTTAAAGAAAACCATCTTCAAAGGCAAGAGAGAATTTTCTGCATATTTGTTAATTGATAAGACATCTTTGCAATTACTTGACATTAACCAGTGTATTTTATGTTTAACAAATTCATCATCTTAATTTTTCATCACACTTTACACCAACTAATCTGTCTCATCACCCATCTGCATTTACTATGTCAAGGCAGGATGCCTAGAGCATGTACTATATATAAAATAGTTGAGTTGAAAGGAAAGCTTAGATCCTGTTTTTCATGCACAACGCATGCTGCCAGCCCCTCTTTGATCTACCACCTTTTTCCAGGGTCAAAGTCTGAGTGAACACTATTCCCAGTCTCAGAGAGTTTACCTGGAAGGCGTTCAGTAGCGCAAAAGTAACATGGAATGCCAGAGAGCGACTGTCGACAATTGTGGCTAATCCAAACCCCCAGGTGAGACCCAGAAGAGGTGTCAGAAGGGCCACATTTTTGCTAATTCGGATCATGTTGCTTAAATCTTGTGACTTGCAGCCTTCTCCAACAGAAGATCTCCCGGTCTTCACCACAACCACCACCACCACCACCACATTTACAACAATGATGCTAAGAGCAGGTACAACAAAGGCCAAAAGGGCTTTTGTCTCATACCAATTGAGCCAGCAGGCTCCACTCCTTAAATACCCATTTTTTGGTTCAGTAATAGCAACAGTGAGGATAGATATGACCAAGGGACATCCATATCCAATAGAGAATGCTGTAGCTATGAATACAGATCTTGATATCTTAAAAAAAATTAATAATAATCCATAGAGAATCAAGAGGCCCAGGGTGAACATCCAAAAAAACAAGGCAAGATAGAAAAAGTGAAGGAAAAAAGTGGCTGCTACACACAACTGGTAGTTTAGGGCTGTATGGTGCACAATAGCTGCTAAGATGAACAAAACATCAGCAATGAGAAGCGATGTAGCAATATTGACCAAACAGAAGTGGCGCATGTAGGTTATTTCAGTTTTTGTAACATGATGCCAGACAACAGTCTCGATGATAAGACAGAGAGCCAAGCTGAAAATGGAAAGGCCTAACCCTACACGTGTAATGTAATCCAGCACTGCATTTCGCAGCATGGTAGGGGACATCAAAATGGAGAAGGATTTGAATGTCCGACGGTGATGCCTGCAGATGCAAACAACTCTGCTGATATCCTCCAACTTCATTTTGCATGCCCTGTTATCCCATCTTCTTTCAGTAGAGTGCCACCCAACACACTGAGCCTTGATGTTCTTCAGTTTATTGACCTTTTCGAAAGTGAGCAAAATATGCTGGAGCTCTTCTGGCAGAGACACCGATAACACCATTCCATTCACAAAAACAGGGTCCAACTGGTTGGTTTCTATAATGGCTCCAAGTGTTGGAAATGCAATGCTGATGGCTTTGGAAGTCTTGGGTAACTTCAAAAGCTCTTCTTCTGGAATGACTACGCGCCCAGTGATCCTGCCTGTATTATTGAAATCCATAGAAAAATCAAAGCTCTTTCTTGAAGTATTTTTATGTATGCTGTAGCCTTTTGTAGAGATGAAGTGCTCCTGTATACTTTCTGATCCATTCCTTAGAAGAAGTTTCCCAGCAAATAAATTCACAGAGTCTAGTAACACCGAACCAGCATTTCTGTCCTTTACAAAAGCCCAGTTGGAAATGGTAGAGCTGTTTAGAATATGGTTTGCTATCCTGCTGTAGCTCTGAAACAAACAAAAAAAGATAAGTTACTTTTTATGCTAAAAGAAACCAACTATTATTCCACTTGCAGAGCTTCCAGATGGGCTCATTTAATTCAAGAGTGATATCTATAAAGGGAATATTCTTTCTTGATAATAAGCAGGATCCCATGATCCATCCCAGTCAAACCCAAACATCTCATTGGCATGGTCATTACCAGAATTGTCCTAAACTCTTCATATCATAGTTCAAAAGGTTATCAGAGAAGCAAGTAATAAGCAAAAATCAGGACACCTAAGTCCTATTCCAGATGTTGACCTGCTCTGCAGGCCTGCTTTACATTATCCTCCCTATAGTTGTTCCCTCGCCTCATCAGGGAAAGATTTCAGTTTCCATTGTGCAACACATGATAACACAGCTGTGGGTCAGCATCTCCAAGGCTGCCTTCCCTATGGTGTCATACTTTAAAAACAAATTTTTCCTTGTACTGCTCTCCCATGTCTACAGAAGCAGTTCCTGAAAACTTTTGCTTTTAAAGAAAGTGAATTTCACAGAGTACTTTCACCATACATTAATGGGTCAATTTCTCTGACCACAAAACATGGGCCTCTTCGGAAAGCTTTTCCAGATGATCTCCATGTGACTTGCAGCCACCACTTCATTGGATAGAGGCCATAAGGTCAAAACACTCTATGGATGTGCTGGCAAGCTCAGAAACACCTCTTGAGGATAAAAGTAAATACCTGCATTTTTTCTCTATTGACATTCTCTGATAACAGCAGGGAAATCTTCTTTAGCAATTCCACTATATCAGCAATGTTTCCTGGAATGGCTGGTGAAGACAGGATATCTGGGATGATGCATGAAAAATCAGCTTGGCAGTTACTATTCCCATGGTCATCAGCACCAAAATATTTTGCTCCATCTCCAGGCTTTCCTCCCCCTACAAAAGGAAGATGTTCCCCAGCAACACTAACATGTCCTTCAGAGCTTGGAAGGAGTTCACGTTCAGAAATCCTCTAGAGGGAGGAAAAAAAGTTTGAGAATGCAAATGAAGCTTTAGCTACAACCAGGCAAGAGGTACAGTGCTGGGGTGTGCAATGAATGTGATGGATGGCCTGAAACGCATGACCAGAGTTCACCTGAGAAGAATGTCTTGCTTATACAACACACATGAAGGATGGGACAATAACTAAATGAAGTGTCTTATTATTGAAATGACTTGAATAAAGTTCTTTATTTTGTAGTTGGGGACAATTTATATGAACCATCTGATTATTAGATACTGGCGTTGCTCTTTTCTCAGGTTCATCCTAGTGTATCATTGTCTTGGTCTAGATTCACATGAGGAACACTAGCCAAGTGAACAAGGCAACTTAATTTGTGAATTATGTTTCCACACATGAGTTTTTCAAATTTATTTCCCATGACTTAAATTAAGATGAAGTCAAAGCCTGTTATCTAAGTAATCTGTGTTTTAGGATCCGAACTTCTTCCATTTGCTGAAAACTGAAGGTGTATGGAGGGAGGGGCTGTCTTTGCAAGAAATTATGAGCATAGGCCAAAGTAGGTGAGTAACAGTTACCTCACCTGAAAAAGGGACTGAACATCCAGGCTTGCACAGGCGTCTGTGAACATTTGCCACTTTCTGTCTTCACAGACAAAGCTTGTCTCCCCATGGAAGGAGGGAGAACAAGGCTGAATACAAATAGCTCCGTTATCTTTGCAGGGATTAAGATTTGTACAGCCACCTGAAAAATCAAGCAGATATTGTTATAAGGTGTAAGATCACATACCATGGTCCATGAGGTATCAGGGATGTAAAGTATTGATAACTGATAACATCTCACAAAGAATTAATAAAGACACATATCTATTCACTGTACCTTGCTGATTACCAGCCTTTGATTCCTTAATGAGAACCTGAAAAATAAGAAGTGGCATGTAGGTTGGATGTTAAAGTAAGTAAATAAAAGATGACTCCTCAGCACAAACCAGAAAGGTGATTTCAAGGGCAAAATAGTCCTTCTGAGGTCCAGAATTCAGAGCTCAAAGCCCCTTGCTTGTAACAGACCAAGTGAGAAGTGAGAACTCCCTAATAACAGTTTGTTTCCATACATTAAGCCTTCAGTTGTACCCTTCTACTGAAGTGACATACTGAGCTAGTGGACAGGATAACACATGACTCAAGCAGTTAATCCTCAGTCAAAAAGCCTCTATTAAGGCTTAAGCTCTCCAGTATTTCTCACGTTGGTGAGAACATGCAATCTCTATAAGCCATAAGATAAAGCTACAGTTGTACAAATACCAGTAGCTGCTTTGCTCCTCTCCTGATTGGGAAGTGACCCCAAGGCAGGCATACCGAGCTCCTGCAGGCAGGACCACTTGCTGAGACTGCGTGTCATACAGCCAGGCACAATCCAAAATAGTTCCCATCACTGCTTGGTCAAATGGTCTATCATCTACAACCAGCCAAACTATCAGTATGGAAGCAAAGCTTGGCTTCACAATGCCCTGGAAATCTCAGTTATTTCTGGGTAGAACAGGCTGAATAGCAGATTTCTAACACTCCAAGAGTTGTGCTGGAGGTTGCTTGGCTCACTGAATGTACTGAATACTTCAAAGTATTTCCCCTCCTGTAGTGACAGGACAAGCGGCAATGATTTTAAACTAAAAGAGGGTAGATTTAGATCAGATAAAGAAGAAATTTTTATTATGAGGGTGGTGAGACATCGGCACAGGTTGCCTAAAGAAGTTGTGGGTGCTGTGGAAGAGTTCAAGGTCAGGTTGGACGGGGCTTTGAGCAACCTGGTCTAGTGAAACTTACCCCAAGAGCTGTGTGCGGCATGGCTGGGAAGAAGTGCACAGCCCAAAGGAGCAGGCAGTGGGCTACCCTCACATCCATCGCCTCGCATCTACTGCTTTCCTCCTGGGAGACAGATATGTTAAAGAAGTTTAGACATCTCTGTTTTAACTTTTGAACACAGTCCGGTTGCTAGTAAGAAAGCAGCTAAACCCTTCCCAAAGACTGTCCTTACCACGCTTGCAAGGTGGTTTTCAGGCATTTATCATTTATTTACTTTTTTAATTAGAATTATTTGTGAACCTTTTATTAGAAAAAAAAAAAAAAATTAGAAGTCTGTCCAAAACTGTAAGTTACTGCATAAATAATTCATTTTAAACTGCAGGGTGGAAAGCGTATTAAAGCAGTTCAGCCTGTGGGTCCCTTTTGAAGTGATTTAAGACAGCCTCGTCTCCACTGGATTCAACGCTGCTACTCTCCTCGGGCATTTCCTGAGGAGACCTGACATGTGAGGTAGGAAACTTGGGCCCTTAGTGCTTGGATATCCAAATCTGAGAAACAAGAACCAGACTGAAGTAAAGTGTTATTAACTTTGCAGAAGGATTCAGGCCACTGCTCCCACTATGAAGTTTTGCATGGTCCTTGGTAAAAGCTTAATATCCTGAGATGCAACTTGTTACAGGCATATTTGCTGGAGAAAAATAATTCAGTAAAGGGAATGAAGGAAATGATAATGTGTTAGATCAAATCTGATTATTAGATGCTATACAAGTTCAAGGCAAAAGCAACAGCTGCTGTGGATTCAGGAGAATTGAGACACTGATCTGCTATCAGTGGATGTATAAGTAGATTAAGCCATGTACTAAAAAAAAAAAAATGAAAAGCATAAAATTGGTTTGCTAAAAAGCTAAAGCATGAAACAAATGCAAAGTGGCAAAGAAGGAGGGTGGCTGGATTTCAGGAGATGTGCATATGAAAAGGCCTGTCAAATCACCATGCCTTGATAGGAGCCACTCAATTTTGCCCGATACGTACTGATCGGGACAGAGGATGCTGAAACAGAAGGGGTCCTGCACTGCTGGAGCAGAGACATGCTTTCTTATCTAGGGAATGCCAAGCTCTCACCATCTGAAAGCATCAAAGGGCCAGGCACACAGCTGGCTGCCCCTTTCATCTGGGACATTCATTCACCTTACAGTATTTTTAGATCTGCAGCTTTATTACTTAATTATGAAAAGATCATAAAGGAAAGAGCTAGATTGGATGCACTGAATTTCTAAGCTAGCGATAAAGGAGAACCTCATGCCAGCTTCTTGAATTCAACTAGTATTAGTAAAACAATTTTCTGCGTTTAAAGCTAGCAACCATTAGCTTTTCTAAGGAAATAAAACGGATAAGTGAACCAGAAGACTTGGATCAATATTGCCAAAAAACGGGAGGAGGCTGGGAAACACCTACAGGTTTGAGGCAAAGGGTTGTATGGAATTCTTTTCTGATTTCTGCAGTCATTAAACATTTATTGTATGCTCATAGCCCTAATTCCATTTCACAGCTGGGAATCCTTGAGCCCATCATGCTTCATCATTAAATAATTCATATTCATTTAGTATTTAATCACTGATGTAACTCCACCTAGGGCTGTTATCTTTAAGTGAAGTAGAAATCTGGGACAGCTCCAGGTATCTAAGGCTCACCAAGATACTGGCCCGTGTTACCCGTGAAACACTGATCTCACTCAGTTGCACTGTTTGACTCATCATGGAAACCACCCAGTCTCACCACTGCAAGTATATGCCAAGGTAAATACTACCGAGCAACAGGAACTGAGAGCAAAACAAGTAGTACAGCAGCAAGTCACTGTCACTTTAGGGAAAAAATATGAATGTACTGACATAAGGCCATGTGAAAGCATATACAGCTATTCTCCCTCCAAAACATTCAATTATGGTACATTAGACAGAGGATTATATATCTAATCATACACTATCTACTGCCATTAATACCTCCCTTTTTAAGAAGCTGTAAACACATTACTCCTCTCTTCCAGAAATTTCTGCTTCATCAGGACATAGGCACATGAGTAGCTGAGCTGTCAGAATGCTCTCACATGGAAGGGAACTTCTAGTAAGAGGACACCTTCATACCCTCAGGTATCTTCCACTCAACCCAGGAGATTGTCACCAGCTGCTGTTCCCTCTTCTCCAGCTGATTTCATTTGGTCACAGCACCCCAGAAGGAGCAAAGCCCTCATCAGGAGGGAAAGATTAAGGAGTAGCTAGACAGGGGTTACAAGAGAGGATCCCCTTAGAACAGTAAAAATGGTAAACTGATCACATATTTAAAAAGTAAACCTTACGTCAGTTAATTTATCATGGCCTTAAATTCAAAGCCCTTACTCTGCAACTTCTGTTGGTTTAAAATGAAAGTGTTTTGTAAAATCCTACAAAGCTATCCCTCTCCCTTCCTGTACGCCAAGCACCTTCTTGATTTTAATCTCTGGGAGGAGGCATTGCAAGGCAGCTTGGCCCCGCGTGGTCACAGCTACCAGAGGGCTCAGCCCAAGCAGCAACAAGTGTGGGATCTACACCCCCAGGTTGGTGGACCCAAGGTCTCTGGCCAAATGGTTCTCCATCAGCTGGGGTCACAGGTTTCCTCTCTCCACTAATCCAGAAAACAAACTGTAGTTAAGTTTATAGGGAAAGGTATCCTGCACAAAAATTAAAAGCACATATCTTACAAAATAAAAATTTACACTGGGCTTGCCATGATTAGCGAGACAAATAAGTTTTCCCAAACACTGCAAACTCTCACTGTTTGTATTTAACTTTTTTTTAAAAAAAAAAAATATTAATTCCATTGTTACAGAACCTAATCTATTATTTTTAGGGCTTGAATGGCTATATGGCTAGCTTAAAGCTCAATAAGTCTCCATAATGTAATCACTTGCCCTTGCTACCTAGCAATTTAAAAAGGCTGCAGCAGGAGACTTTAGTCTTCAATGCGATCATCCAAAGATAAAAATTAAAGCTCGCAATTATACAGAATGGTATTAGTTGTCTTTTTAATGGGATCACACGTGGAAAATGTGAATTTCAGTAAAGCAAGTTCTGAAGAGAGTGATCTTTACAGTAAATTTATCTATAAAAAAATTGCAGATTTTCTTAAAAGTGACAACACTGTGATTTAGAGACCAATTAGAAAACTACAAGCAAAAAGATCAGAGGATCATTAAGATATCTAATTACTTCCAGAAACATAAGAATATAAAACTGAGGAAATAAGTACAGTATCAGCAATTCAGTGCATTTTGGAGTATGAACAAACTAATTTCACAGACCACAGATAATTTTCAAGCAGTTTTGGAAAAATGTTGTTTTATGATAGTACTCACCGTTTTTCAAAGTCTGGGTTCTACTGTAAGCCAAATTAACACAGCCAGAGATCCTCAAGATATCACAAGTGAGCGTCTAACCATTCATCTGCTGCCATCGTGCCCCAGTCTCACTCTTATGGTCTTACCCAGCACTGCTTGGTTGCTCTGACTCATTTAGAGTTTTCCCATGAAGAAATAACCTCAGGCATCAGCCTGCTTCTTTTCTTGTCCGACTGGATTAACACTGAAGAACCTGCAGATTACAATAGAGGTATTGCACTGCAAAATGACAAAACAAGTTACAAAACACACCCACAAAACTGCCAGATTGCCACCTTTGCCAGGAGTCCACACAGATGAATCACACCTGCGTGGTTTGTACCCTTCCTCCTGGTGTAGGCATCTTCTGATCTTCCATATTTAACAGATCTTCTAGACTTTAAAGACAAAAATAAAAAAAATCCATGATCAAAATCTCATCCAGTTAATGTATTACTCTTCATAAATCAAAGATAACGCTACTGACAGTATCTTACACAGCTGAAAAGCTCAATGAGCAAGCAATGATCTTTTCTTTATGGGCTGCACCCATCATAAGGGGTGAGAGTTGTCTGCTGAACCTTGTGCCACCTTCAGTGTTGGCTCTCTTAAATATTGCTTCATCTCCATTCCTCCTTCCCTGAGGATTTCCAATAGCTAGTAATTTATGGCAACTAGTTTAATTGTAACAGAAAAGCAATTCCTAATGCTCTTTTTACTCATACGGCTGCTTTGGTCACCAATTTTTTCCACAGTCCTGCAACGTGTTTTTGTCATGAGTTTACAGGGTTTCCTAGTGTCATTTCCTCTGCTACAATTTCAGTCAGTCCTCAGCCACAAGGTAGGTCACCAGTTTTAGCCTAAAGGTAGTCATCATTTACTCTTCTGTTTTGATATAGCCAGCCTTGTGTCTCACATTGGTATCAAGTAGAAATTAAGCCAAGCACAATTAGATACAGCCAACACAACCCACCTGGAAAGGTTAAATGACTTGCACTTGATACAGTACCAAGTAGAGATGAATTCAAAAGGTGGCACCTTAGCAACATTTAAGTCAGAAAAAAAGGGCCAAAGACCAGATCATGTCCAAGTATGGATACCTGTTTTAAAACGCTTCTTCCCCAGTCACCTGGAGTTGTGCTTCTATACACTCCCTGAACCTTTGGTACGATGGCAAGACCAAACACCCCGATTCTCAAACATCTCCTCAGCCTAAGCACTAGCCCTCTGAAGGACACAAAGGCTGGCATACTTCAACACTCAGACACACACTCATGCTTCTCCCAGTAGAGGTGTGAATCTGTGCTCCCGGGGACCTAGAAAGATATTCAAACCATGACTTCCAACAAGCAACGAAGGTGCTCCGTGCCCTGAACCCAGCAGTATCAGTCTCACACTTTACAAGCTGGTCAAGGATGTTTGCATTCTTCAGTCGGGGAGGCATGTGCCTAGGCACCCAAAAGGGAGTGGTTCATCTTTTCAGCTCTTGCAAAATCCAATTACCCAAGATATATGACCAGCTGCTTTGACACTGCTCTGAGAAAGCAAACTGTCAGCAATCAGGAACATCTCCGAGAACTTTATTGGCAGCCAAAAATAAGGTAGCTGTGAAAACCCGTTTTTACCATTTCCTTTGGAAAGACTTAACAGATTTCTGCTAATTTAAGACTTCAATGAATACAAGGTATTTATTTAAAATTTCAACAGATACTTTGCTACACAACCCAAATTCAAATCTTGCAATGCATTACAGGTTTTCACCAGAAACTTCATTCCCCTGAAGCAACATTAATGAAAAATGTCATGTTTGTCGTGATTGCTTAAATAGACTTTTGAAAAATAAGTAGACCCGTACTTATGTTTTTTTGAAAACAGTACCCTGTATGCAAACAAAAGCTTTTTAGAGAATGTTATGAAGACTGAATAAAGACCTTGCAGTTCAAAAATGACCTTCTGTTGTTCTGTTCTTCATTTGCCTTCTCCCTCATCCATACCACTTTTAAACATGACATACTCTTGGTCTTCAGTTCTTCACTATATATTTAAGATGTGATTCAAACATGCATTTATCCATGTTACTGAGTGTCAATAATCATCTTAAAAAATGGCTCTGAAAATGCACAGTAGGTCAGTTCAATAGGGACTAACAGAAGAAAAAAAAAAAGTAATAAAGAGACACTGAGAAGATTCCCAGTCACACTTGCAAAGAAAACAGTAAGCTTTCCAACTGATTGGATCCTAAACCATCCTGACAGTCAGGAACCAGAGCACCCCAGAATAAATTAAAACACGAAAGCCTCAAAGAGGGACTATATAAATAATAATACACTTTGCTCCCACACTCCGAACTCCTCCTGCAAAAAAAATTAACGGCATTAGAAACATTCATGAACAAAACTGAACAGACATTTCAACAGGTTTTTAAACTCATTTTATTTGCTGGGTTTGGATAGCATGCATCATTTTACAGCACCGGTAAACAAGTCAGTGAAGCATACTGCTTTTAGGAACTTGTACTGTGGAATGTCTTCAAAACCATCACCCTCTCCCCCTCCACTCTAGTACATAGCACTAGCTGAAGACAAGACAGACATATCAGGGCAACTTCCTTATGGCTAAAAATACTCATAGCAGCAACTTTTAAAGGAGGGTTTTATTAAATCAAGTCATTGCACTTGGTTCATTTATTGCTATAGCGAACAAAGGCCATTAAATAACAAACACCTTTCATTTGTGGTTTTAACTGATTGTCTTGTTCTGTTCATCCGCTACAAGCTTACAGGCAGACACAATTTCTGTAGAGCAAGCCATTCCAAGATTTGTTTCATCCTCTAGTTACAGTGAAGAGCTTGTATAACAAAATTGGCTATTCTATTAGGCTCAATTCTTGCTTTTCATCACCCGACTTAGAGGCATGAATTCGAAGTAAGAATTTAGCATCTGACAAGGAGCATTACTGTTGCACATTATTCTTCAATATAAAGATCTGGCTCAAGTCTTCATTTGTGATGCATCTAGGCAATTAAAAGTTAAAAGCGTTAACGTCATCAGCTTTTTAGCAATATAACTAGCAAATATTACCTAATACCTGTATAGTATAGTAATCAAATTTTATAAACAATTTAAATCAGCAACTGACAAACATCTTCCAATTGACTTTTTGATGGTTATATTTATGATGCATCAACTATGGAAGAAGTATACTCTCAAGAAGTAACGCTTCATGTCACTTGCTCAAGTAACATACTAAATTACTGTATTTATGACTATTCCCATGAATAGAAACTTATTTACTTCTCTTACTGGTGAATTTGCCAAATTATGTGGCACGTTTCTGTCAATTAAGTTCTAGTAGACCAAAAGAAGAGAAGATAATTACTAACAGATGTAATGCATTTGACTGGTTGTACATTTTTAAATTCTTTAATCAAATGAACACAGCAATAAATAGCATTGTCTCCGATTACTTTGCATATTATTTGTATATTATTCTGGTGTACTGTGTTGAGCTCAGGGGTTAAAGATAATGGCAATCCACAAGATTTCAACTGTTTCTATAAAATGTTAAAGACACCATCTTGGACACCAGCACAACGCTGTCAAAGCAATTGTTCCAATCACACACTAAAATACAAAGATGTTATTAAGTTTAGAGGTACACAATATACTGAGAAAATTTATGGCATAAATATATAAATATTGAGACTTTTTGAGAGTATCAAAGTTCCAAGGGGATTTATTTGGGGACATAAACAAAACCTGACTATTGTAAAAACAGATCAAGATTTATATGTAACCACTAGAAAGACTGATTACTTCAGTTTAGATACACAGAAGCACAGATGTTGTGACTTAAGGTTTACTTTTTCCAGCTATATGTAGTAATATTTGAGGCACAACAGGTTAAGACGGAATTCTAGCTTTGTTTCTGTATTTCCTGCATTTTGTGGTTTTAAAAGTTAATTTTGTCATAACTTCATGATTCAGTCCTAAATCCCTTTTAATCCAATAGTGCAAGTGATAAAACGTCCTGTTAAACTACTTGAATTAGATTATTCTCTCTACAATGCATTGGAGTTCAACCTGCTTCATTGCATTAACAAATTCCCATCTCATTACTCAACTTATAAACAGTATATTATTAATATTCTCACTGCAGACAGGCACAATAGCATAATCCTGGGGAAGACTGCCAAAATTATACAAATATCATATATTCCCTTTTGCATGTAGGGGAAAAAAGTAGTGACTTCCATTATGTTACAGTTATTCCATCCCTCCCAATAGACTATTTTACAGATTAGTTGTAAAGATAGATCACCCTATTTATAGTATAGATCTCTTTAAAAATTAAGCTACAGGTATTCAATAAAAATCTATTAAGAATTCCCTCTCCTTTCTATACAGATTCAGTAGTATTCTCAAGCAAACCAAAAAATAAGGTCTGCTATTCCAGCACAGTAAGAAATAAGGCCTCTTTTATATTGGCAAAAAAATTACAACATTATTCTTCTTTGCTTTCTTAATCTCTCTGAATAAAAGACTATATTCTTTTTACTATATTTTTTTCTTTAAGACTGTAGAACACCAGCATCCATTATTATGAAATAAGAGTCAGTTCTCCTTGTATTCAGCTTTGAATTCCTGGTGAGCTAAAAACATTTGAGTCCATAGCTGTCTCATGTAGACATCACTGCTTTCTTCAATTTTTCTATTTCAAGCTGGAAGATAGACATTTTGAGAAGAAAGAGTCAGCATTAAAGTAGCAATAATGTAAATTCTTCTGAACTTTCACCAAAATGATAATCTTTATATTTCAAAAGACTCTTAAGTAAATAAAATCATAACACAGAAGCATCTGAAGCTCATTATTTACAGCTGATTTTATACTACCATATTGCTAAACAAAAAACAATTTAAAATCATTAAAATTTGCCTCTAGTCCTGGAATACCCTATTGGATAAACTCACTCTGAATAGAGCTTTCAAAGCTGGGTTGTGGAATTACTTTGACATGTCCTCACGTAACGCTGCATCATCACCTCAGACTAACTTCTTAAAGCAGCCTTCATGCAAAACACCATG